GACATCCGCGAGCATTCCAAAAGTCCCAAAAGCATGCGAAGGACTCCAGCTCCACGTCCTCTAGCGATACAGAGGAGAATGTGGAAGTAGCGGATAAGTACCTGGCCCGTCACTCGAAACACGCTCGCATGCATGTGACGGACTCAACACAGAAGTAGACGGATGCTCAGTACGCCCGCTAAGGCGACAGGCCTCGGAAAAAAAAACTAGGGAACACTCATGCCACATTCATCTGCGAACGCCTCCCCATCCCCCCAATGTTGATAGTTGGCGGTGGGTGCGTGCCAACTTTGAGTTTGGGGGGCAGGACGGGTGTTCACTAATTGTTTTGCTCTACCGGAATCGGCCCCAGATTCACGCGGCCATGCCAGCAGCGGCTCAGAACTGTGTCCCGGCAGCGGGGGCATCCAGCAGCGCCGCGCCCAGTGCTCCGACCCCACCTCCCCCCGCCATCGAAGACACCCACCTGTTGAGTGCTGCTCGGGTTGCATTGCTTGCCTTGGTGATGAATAACAGGGTGTCTCTCAAGATCGGCGCGCTGTGGACGATCAGACCCGACGTTGTCACAAGATTGCACGAATTCCTCAAGAAGAACAACCGTGATGGCAACATCCCGCGCCCTCAGAAGGATTGCATCAGCTGCGTTGGGACACGGGGCGGAAGCTGGGCTGAGTACCCTCACTCATGTGTACTGTTCTCTTCCATCCCGTGCGCATTCCTATGTGCCTCGTGTCCTTGTTGCCTGCAATTGTTGTTTGCGCAAGTGTTCCTGGCCCACCAGAAGTGTGAAGCATGGAGGTGGCAGGCAGGAGCTCAGGTCTTCAGCTCTGCTGCCGGTGCATGTGCCGCGAAGCGGAAAGCGTCGGCCGCCCCGACCGCCACGAGCAGTCTGGCGTTAGCTGGGCCTGGACCTGTCTGGTGGCTGTAGCGCGCCGTATCTGTCGCCTTGGGCACGGCAGCTGGCATGTGAATATTGTTCGTCGCAGGCAGTTGATCGAAATCCCAGGAGGCTTCGGAGGCTTCCAACATTGGAAAGGGTACGCACTGCTCAAACGTCGCAGGGAGTGCAATCGGCCTGCACGCTCTCCCCCACCACCTGGTGGAGCGCCTCCGGACATGCCCAGGAGCCAGCGTCGCTGGTTGGCCCTCGATGCCATCGCATTTCCGTATTCTGACGTGATGCTGCCCTTGAGACCGAGCAGATCCCAGTCTTTGATTGGGCTCATCATGTCAGCGAAGCGCTCGAGCGTGAAGCACCCGAGCGAAAAGCATCCCAACGTGAAACACCCCAACACGTAGCAGGTAGGGAGAGAAGGAGCAGGAATGAACGATTCCTGGATGGGTGCAAAGCGCCACGCGCTCCGCATGTCACCGTACTCGTCTAGGCGCAAGTTGTTGTGCAGGCATGGGTGCTAAACTGCACCGCAGCGGCCCCTCACGAGCCGACCGAAGATTCGGATTCGGACCGCCAGATTGGCCGCAAAGAATCATCATCAACATTATCCTCCTCCTCCTCCTCTTCTATTCCTCCTCATCATGATCACCACCATCACCATCAACATCACCATCATCAGCAGCAGCAACAGCATCATCATCATCATCATCATCATCAGCATCATCATCAGCATTAACATCATCATCCTCATCATCACCACCACCATCAAAATCATCCTCCTCAGCATCGTCAGCATCCTCAGTATCAACATCAGCATCATCATCACCGTCAGCATCATCACCATGACCATGCTCATGATCATCATCGCCACCACCACCATCACCATCACCACCACCATCACCATCACCATCATCATCATCATCATCATCATCAGCAGCATCATCACCGTCGTCATCATCATCATCATCATCATCATCATCATCATCATCATCATCGTCATCATCATCATCATCATCATCATCATCATCATTATCATCCTCCTGATCCTCATCCTCATCCTTATCCTCATCCTCATCATCATCAACATCACCATCATCATCGTCGTCATCATCATCACCATCACGACCGCCATTAACACCACGACCACCACAACCACTACCACCATCACCCTCACCATCACCACCACCATCGTCATCACCATCATCATCACCATGATCATCATCAGCAACAGCATCGTCATCCGAATCAGTATACTATTCATGATCACCCTCACCATCGTGGTCATCATCATGGTCATCGTCATCGTCATCCTCATCACCAACTTCATCATAATATCATCATCAGCAACATCACCATCATCATCATCATCATCGTCATCATCATCATGATCATCAGCAGCAGCATCGTCATCCTAGTCAGTAGACTATTCATGATCACCCTCACCATCGTGGTCATCATCATGGGCATCGTCATCGTCATCATCATCCTCATCATCAACCTCATCATCATAATCACTATCATCAACATCACCATCATCATCATCGTCGTCGTCGTCATCGGCATCGTCGTCGTCCGTCGTCGTCGTCGTTTGCCGGTGTCGACGTCGTCGTCGTCGTCGTCGTCGTCTGCTGGCGGCGGCGGCCAGGGGGGGAGGGGGATTCTGGACCACCCAATAATTTTGGCCGGGTGGGAAGCGGGTTCTAAAGCCCACCGAGTCATTTGTCGGGGTGGTAGTGGGGGTTCAGGAACCTCCCTCCCACCCCCGTTTTGGGGGAGGGGGGGGGATTTGAACCCACTCCCCTGCCAGCAGCTTCCGAAAACGCTCTTTCAGTCTTTCCATACCCACCTCGACCGCGCCACAAGTAGAGCGAGAAACGTTTGGCTGGCCTTGCCCTCCAACTGGGGCCCGTCCCACCGCGCGCGCGACCACACGGCCCAACGACCACCACCCCGCGCGGGCGGCAGAGGCCCGAGACCTGGAACTGCATCCTGAGAGCTCCAAGACGGCTCCAGACCCAGAACATACCTTTTGAACACGTACTGGTTGCGTTATGTGAGTCCTAATGCTCCCGTGGGGACCAGGCGTGACTCCATGTCTGCAGGCGCCATACGTTTTGCGCTAGAGCTGTCCTCCCTCCGTGTACGCGCGCCCACGACGGGCAGCTTGATTTTGTGCTGCTCAAACCGGCCTGCTGCCCGCAGGATTCACGCAATGCCGCACTAGCCCGTGCGACACACTACCAGAATACCTGCGTCAGTCACAAAAAGGCGCGGATGGTTTAGCACGCTCGCGAGGGAATGTTGTACGCACCCCGCATGGCGTCAAACAAACATGGCATCAATTTGCAATATGGCGTTTGACAAGGATGGCGGTGATGTGAGCATACCGGCCCGCTGCGCGCTTGCCCACTACCCGCACCGAGAATTAGCGCGAAGAGCTCGCGGCTGCACGCGCCGCCCACCATGCTGGCCGCCCCGCCGCCGCACTTGCCTGGCTTCTGTCGGCGATGGTGGTCATGATGACATTCTGCCCGAGGAGTGCTGCCACGGGCACTGGCGCACCTGTCGCTGCCTGGCGCATTCTGCGCGCATCGCGCACTCGGCGCACCTGGCTCGGCCGAAGCCTGTGGCGCACCAGCAAGATGCATCGCCCCAGAGTCATCGCTCACTGCAGCCCCCGCATGATTTCCTGCTCCTCCTCCTCCTCCTCCTCTTCCTCATCCACCAATCTCCCCTCCACCCCGTCCCCCGTCCCCAGTCCTGCCCGCCCTCCTCCTCGCTCGTCCTTTTCCACCTACCCCTCCTCCTGCTTTCCATGCGCCGCTCATCATCCTCGACATTGCCCTTCCGGGGACACTCGAAGGACCCCATGCATCGTCACGAATCTCCCAAGACAACTCGTTCAACTACCAAGAGTGAACCCTTGATACCATTGATTGTGATGGGGCCGTTGCCGAAACTATGCCATGCCACGGAATGTCGTTCATGCCATACCACCCCTGGTGTCAAGTGGTTTAGGGAGTTTCCTCTTCCATCTTCCCTCTTCCCCTTCCGGGAAGGGCAACCCCTCCCCCTGGGTCTGGAGGGGGCGGGCGCGAGGGGTTAGAGCGTCCAAGATGGCCTCGACGAGCAGGCCCAAATCATTGACGTCACGCAGGCTTTGGCTACATGCTGGCTTCTTGGGGTGGGGACCCTGATGAAGGAGGTCCCCTCCTTGGATCGACCCTCTCCAAGATCAAGGGTGCCCTAAGACGGCCGCGAGAGGTAGCCCCAAAGATGTCCCTGAAAGGCTCCAACGAGGCTCCGAAGAGGCGCCTAAGAGGCTCCCCTGAGGCACACAAGACGCTGCAAGAGGCCCCCAGGCCGCCAAGAGGTCTCGAATCACACCTGGAGAAACTCCCAGAAGCATCCAAGAGGCCTCTGGCCTGTCTGTTCGCGCCCCCTCGTCTTCCCCATCCGCCGAATTATCCTCCTGCCTTCCCCATCCTCCCTCCTCACCCCGCCCCTCCTCCCCCCTCCTCCCCCCTCCTTTTCCTCCTCCTCCTCCTCCTCCTTCTCCTCTGGTTCCTCCTCCATATGCCCACTCTTGGGATACGGCGGCTCCCCGGCCTTCCTTCCGCTGCGTTCTCTCCCACATGCCTGGTCGGAGCAACTCGCCTGGGCATCGTTTCTGGATGGGTTGGTGGGATTACGCGACGCGTCTATACTTTCGCATGTGGCTTACATCAATCCGTGGACCTGCGGAACAATCATACGAGAAGACAAGAGACTTCACTCGAGTCCCTGATCGGGCCGTACCCAAGACTACCTCTCGACCTCGAATACCGGGTATGAGAAATGGCATCTTTGAAAATACACCGTTAACCTGTCCAACGGAGCAACCCCTGCTTGGTCGCAGCTGGCAACTAGGGGCCCAAAGCGCAACGATGGCCAAATGTCGAGAACCGTTCCAAGATCAATGAAATGTATGCACCGCTACGCTACGCCTTGAAGCGTTACAGTTTCCTCTCTGCTCCCTCTTCTCTCGTGCCCTTTAGCATGCCCCAAACACTTATCGCTTCTCCCCACCCATTCCCTGCAAACACTTTTCTCAAACCCGCGGGTCCTCTCGAAGCACTTGTTGCTAAATATGACAGCTTCTCGTCTTGCTCCATCCAGCCCAAAAGGCACTGCGCGATCTCTTCATTCTTTGCCCAAGCTGCCTCCCTCAAAATATCGTTGTGCTCGTGGTAATTCACCTTCGACCTGCGAAGTAGGTCAGCGCCGTGATCTCTGAAAACATCGAGCGACGCTTTCCGCATTGCTATAAAACACAAAGGACTTGTTACATGCGCATGTTGGGCGCCTGCTGGAAACAAGTCGTATGTTGCGTCAACGTTGGCTTTGCGATCCAGTCCGCCGATTCCCGATTGCAGATCTGACAAGGCGCGTGCGGCGTTCGGATTGTGATCTTACCCTCAACATCCTTTCCCGCAGCGCACAATCTCCTGCTGTGGGAAGAGTTCCGCAATTCAATTAGAAGGTAGAGGCGCAACGAGGCGGGATAGCAAGAACCCAGAGGGCACTGTGGTACCGTGTAAGGTTGTCGGCTGGCTGCGCAAGGAAAGGGGGAGACGAGGACGAGGACGAGGCAGACAAATGGATGTGCTTTTCAACAAACGCTACTTGAGAGACTGGCGCGATGCGCGTGGGAAGGAACGTTTGAAATGAATTACCCTGCGACGCACCCAACCCATATGCATCTATTGAACCGAACACTTGGACTACGTGGGGCGAGGCAGCAGCAGGGGGGCGGAAGAAGCAGGAAGTGGCAGCAGCGGGGAGACGGAGGGAGGAGCAAGCGGACGAGACCGAGAGAGGACGGCCGAGGAGGGAGAGCGGCGATTCTTCAATTGGTTCGTGAATCACTGGCGCTGCCCGCGCCATGGCGCTGCGGCGCCCCGGCAGATCGGTCGTTCGGATCAGCACGTGTGCCGGACCTGCGGGCCGCCCGCGCAGAAGAACATCGAGCCCCGTGTCGTGCATCAGCCTGTCTTCGAGCTTCGGGGCAGTGGAGAACATCTGAGATCTTTTTCAGTATGCCCAGGGCGTCTGTTTCTAACAATTTGTTTACCTCGGCGTTTTGGAAATCATGGTTGTTAGCCGATTTGGATCCTAACGAGGAAACTGAAAATGCTTAAGTTATCCGGGCGAAGGACCCAACCATATGCAGTTGTGAGTGCGTCCTTGCGGGTATATCGCCTTCGGGGGATCTCCTCATGGGGCCACGAGGCATGCGAAGGGTGTGCCGATATGGGGCGGGGCCGCCATGTGGGCGCTACCACTGGGGCTTTAGGTGGAAGCCACTAAGGGGCCGCGAAACGTGTGATGGGTGCGCCGCGACGGGGCGGGGCCGCCGCGCGGGCGCTGCCGCTGGGGCCTCAAGCGGGCTCCCTGTGGGGGCACGAAACGCGGCACGCGGGCCCCGGCGCTTCGATCCCGGGTTATTTTTCCCGTATCGAGGCCTCGATTGGAGGCCTGGAAATGGGCACCAAAACCAAGACAGGGAGTTGCCTCCACAGGGGACCGATGATCCTAGATTTCGGTGTTGGTGGTAATCTTTCGGTCACCTTGGAAGCAAGAGTATGACCACCATCACCGAGATCGGGATATTCTGCCCTCGGTCGGGGCACACCGCCGAAATTGGTGCTGGTGTCAACCTCTAGGCCTGCGACTCGATGGTTGGGCCACGATGCCATGCACAGCTTTTGTTAGCGAAGTTGTCACGACCTTCGGGGAACCTCTGGGACCACGCATCGAACAAATTTAAGCGCATGATGGGCTGCGAGACCCGCGCCCCGGCGAGGCGCACCTGTTGGGTCACCCTCATTATGGTCATCCTCATCGTTGCCCTGCCTCCTCCACCTCCTCCTGTTCATCCTTACCCTCCTCGAGTTTGACCTTCTCGTTCCGCCGCGACGCGGCGTCGAAGGCGCAGGCCCAAAGGCCAGCCGCAGCGCCCAACAGCTAGTACGTCAGGCAGGTGAGAAGAAGACACGCATTCGTGATGGCACACGGGCGCATGCTAATTGCACAATGAAGGTGGAATGGGGCGAGGAGTAACGGTACAGACACCTCGGGCGTATGCGAGCACTTGCCCTGCTTCTCTCGCACCCTGCGGCGCAGCAGCATCTTGGGTGTGAACGTAACCAGCTGAACAAATGCGCGCGGACCCGACAAGGGTCCAGAACTTGACCTTCCCCTCTCATTGGCCGTGGGCATGGCGGAAGCCTGCAGGATAGCAAATGCACGATCCTCTTGTTGAGATCCTTCTCGTCCTCGATCTTGGCATTTGCACTGGCATAGTCATATCCGCTGGTCCCCTTGCAGCATCGAGGCAGAGACTGAATTGGCGGAGACTTGTCCAGCATATCATTATGATTTTCGCTGGATGCCCAGAACGCGTTCGGTTATCAAGACGATCATACTATTCTTCGCTTCCTACGCCATACCAATTTTCCTCTCCTCCTCCCACTCCTCCTCCTCCTCTTGCCCCAGAGTGGCTCCAAGAAACTCACAGAGCGAAAGATCCACACGGCCATTCAGGCTGCGATTCCTGTCGACGTTGTTGTCGGCGTCTTCCTAGTCCATCCTCCACTTTTCATTATAATTCACGCACCCGGGGCCCCGAACCGTATCGATAGGGCGGGCCGGGCCGGGCGTTTCGCCTAAGACATCCTCATTCGTTGTAACCCTAAGCTTGACATGTGCAAGATGTTGTCAGAGTGCGGCCGTCTTCAAAAAGTGGTTCTGGCATTAGCGCCACACAAACTTGTCCTAAAAGGTTGCATGAACTTCACGGACCGAGGGCGGTTCTTCTTCAAAGCGTGGTTCTCGCCTTAGCGCCGCGCGCACGCGCCTTCAGTTTCCAAACTTTGTATGGTTACGTCCCAGGAATGCTTTTCCCGCACGATCCAGGATTGCCAGGGCGTGACAGTCACGCTACCCCGCGGAGTTCCAAGTCCATGGATGGCGTTCCGGCGAGATGCAGGATCGCCAGGACGCAACAGGAACGTTGCTTCGCGGCGTTGAAGTCCCAGGAACTATGTTTTGGCACGCTTGATGATTCTCAGACGGTTGTCTTCCACCAGGACGCTTCCTACGGTGAAATAGAAATCTCGCAGGGACCTTCGAAGAGGAAACTCGGAGGGCGGGCTTACTGTAACATCGTTCATGCGTCTTGGGCTTGCACATGTCCTCTTCTTCCTCCTCCTCCTCATCCTCCTCCCACCTGCTCATCCGATTTCCATCATATTTCCTAAAACGGAGGGCTGAGATCGCAGTGAAACGGACAGCCCGCCACAGGGAAATCGGTTTCGGTTTCATGTTCGTGTCGTGCGCGCGGGCGAGGCGAAGCTGCGTGGGCGGGCGAGGAGGACTGAACCCTCCTCTGGCTAGGGCGCCGCCAGGCCAAAAGACGGCCCTCTCACTCGGTTGGCCAACGGTTGCTGGGGGGGTCCCGCCATGGTGTCCCGGTGGTGACCCGTGGTGTCCCGTGGTGCCCCGCGGTAGCCCGTGGTGTCCCGTGGCCTGGTGCCCCGTTGGTGTCCCGCTGGTGTCTTGACGGTATCACGTCGGTGTCCCGTGGTGAGGTCAATGGTGAGATCGATAGTGAGATCGCTAGTAAGATCGGCAGTGATACCGCAGTGAGACCGATGGTGATATCGTGAGATCGATAATGATATCGATGATGAGGTCGATGGTGAGATCGATAGTGAGAAGACAGTGGGAACGGCTATGGAATAAACAGTGAGACCGACAATGAGATCGATAATGAAATCGCTCGTGTGAGAACGATCGTGAGATCGATAGTGCTGCACCGTCCGTGTTCCGTCGTGAGATCGATAGTGACCGATGATGGGACCGATCGTGAGATCGATACCTATACGACCACCCTTCGGGTGATAAGGAGTTTTGGGTGGGGGGGGGGAAAGAACCTAGAGCTGGCAAATGCGATGGGTGTGATGATGACGATGCTGGTGACGCGCCCGCGAGTTAGCGACCACGCGTCATGACGATGTTTCGCTGCGAAATAATGTCATTGTCGCCCCCGCTTTCGATCTCACTCGATCGATCACACTATCGACCTCGCGGCTAGTCTTAGCACCAATGGATTCGGCGGTCGATCCCACTATCGATCCAGCGAGCGATCTCCCTATTGATTTCTCGATCGATGACACGATCGAATTCACTATCGATCTCACAACCAATGTCACAATCAATATCACTGTCGATCTCACTACCCATCCCATTCTTGCGATCTCAGGACAGTTTTCACGATCGACGTCATGATCGATACCAACGCGGGACACCCCAGGCGACCGACCGCCCACCGTCGATGAAACACCGACGGGGCACCACGGGGACACCACAGGACTCCATGGCGGGACACCCTGGGTCACCGCGCGCCCACCAGGGCGAGGGGCTGCCCACTGCATCCGAATCCCCCCAGCGACGGCGGGGTCAATCCTTTCATGCGCCCACGCAGCTTCGCCTCGCCCGCACGCACGACACAAACACGGAACCGATTTCCCGGGGGGGGGGTTCTCTGTTCCACTGCGACCTCACCCCCAACCTCCGATTGAGAGAGATCGCTAGTGAGATCGATGATGAGATCGATAGTGAGATTGATTGAGTGAGACGTTTGTCTCCCCCCCACCGCCAGAACCTCCTTATCACCCGAAGGCTGGTCGTATCGGAATATAATTGACTAGGAACGTGTTTTGTGTAGTTACTCTTCCTTCTGCTCGCCCTCCTCCCCCAATGCCACTGCCTTCTCCTCCTTCTCTTCATCCGCCCTCCACCCTCCTCCTTCGCCGCCTCCTCCTGCTCTGAAAGATACTGGCTACACCACCCCTCGCTTTGTTCCACTGTATGCGCCTATACTTCCCTGTCGCGTGGGCGGCCAGGGGTACGCGAAGATCTCAAGTGGCAACAACTTTGAACGTGCAGCCCCAACCTCCCCTCCTGAGCCTGATGGGTGGTAGTACCAAAGGCATCCATGAATCCGAAGATGGCTTTAGTCTAAGCCTCCACACCCCCGTCCTACTCTTTCTCGAACTCAACTCATCCTGCTTAGTACACTGCCAGGTCTGCCCCGAGGGGGGGCGGGGGGGGCGAGAGGGGGGTGATTAAATTTGCCAGGCGTTCAAGAGTTTACAAGGGCAGCCCCCTCGTCTTCCCTCTCCTCCCTCCTTCCTCCTTCCCACACCCGTCCTCCTAGTGTTCTTCCCTGACCTGCCCCCACTTTCACCTCCAGAACAAGCAGAAAGGAAGACTACGACTACGATGGCTTCGCGTTTTCTTGGGTGTTCGCAAAGGCTGAAGAAGTTCGCGGGCAGTCCAGGGAGTGCTCCCTCCACTCCCCTCCCTTCCTTCCTGCTGCTCCCTCCTGCTCCTCCCTCCCTCCCTCCTGCTCCTCTCTCCCTCCTCTCCCGCCACGCACTCCTCTGTTTAATCCTCCCCCCTCCCTCGTCACCTCCCCGTCCCCCCTCAGCCTCGCCCTTCTCCGCGTTCCCTCCCCCCTGACGCTTGATCCTCCTGATGCTGGGGCGACGGCGGCACTGACTGGAAGCTCTTGCAGTTCATAATGGCCAGAGTGAGCACCGGACCGCTGAGAATTTTCGGGTTGTACTTCACCTTGAATCGCCGCCTCCAGGGAGCAGAAGGATTATATGTCTGCCAGCCCCTGAAGCATGGCGGGGGGACGGGAGGAGGGAAGGGAGGAGAAGGGAGGCTGTAGAAGGGGAGGGCGAAGCAAATGCACGCATGTTGTTCCCCGGCCTGATCTGCAACAGCCGGGCCGCCTGCGATGGATCGCTCAACACGTCTTTCACCATGTCATAATCAGAGTCCCGCACAGCCGACCAGAGCCTGTCGCATGGGCTTCCCAACCGATCGCGGTCTTCAACATCCTCTGGTCTATGTGGCCAGAGGCTCGCCTCCACGCTGGACCTTTTGTTGACGTGCTCGAACTGCTTCGACCACGCCAAGAGGGCGTCGTTCCACGTCCTCAAGCTGTTCTCAGGGTCCTGAATCGGGTCCTCACCTTCCTTCCACCACAGGTCGCACCCCCATCCACTTCTCGTCCGCACTCTGTGCACCACCTTGACTACGGCCTCTGTGATTATGTCCGCCACGGCGCGTATCGAATCTAAATGAAGCTGGGAGGAGCACGCGTCACACGTCAGTAGTTTGTGTTTCGGCACTGCTACGCAGTCTGCCCTGGCGTTTCGAATAAAATGGGCCAGCACCTCATCTTCGATTGCACCGAAGGGCAACTCCTTATCAAAACTCTTGTGAGTCAAATCAGGGCACGTGCTAATCCCACTGGTCGCACTGCGCCGCCTTTGCATCACAGGGCTAACGCGCTCTACGTGTATGTCGTGGAACTGGACGGCAACCGTCTTCACTAAGCCAGACTGCGACGTCCCGCTTGGACAAGGCTCTGCCGAACTCGGAACTTCCTGCTCCATGAGGACCCCAACGCTCAGCGAGAACTGACACTGGACGCCATTTCGACCACTGCTGCCCTTAAACGTCGACTTGTTCTTGTCCGAAAACCTGCCTCTCAAGTCCCAAAAATCCTCCCCAGTCTGGCAACCATACAGGTCATGCACCAAGTCTGGAGCCCCTTGCACTGCTGTGTCAGGAAATTCGTCCGATGGCTTCGTACTGAAAGCTTTACTGATCGACTCTTTAAGGCAAGCTTCTAACTTACCGATAGCGTCCTGCCCGACCTGACCACTCGGCAACTGCCTGGATAGTTGGCAGGTTGCTTGGTCGGCCACATCGACCAAATTGGCTGGTTGGCAGTGCCATGGGCACAACATCGCGGCATGGGCAACAATGGGAAGGTGGAGCCTCGAACCAAGCATATAGAAACTATCGAGAGTGGCAGCGGTTATGGTGATGCCAGTGATGGAGACCGACTGCAGCTCGGCAAAGGCAATCGGAATGATGATGTGACCGTGGCGCATACGATGACATTCGGGGATGGCCGTGGCGCGTGCGGACTCTGCCAATCCCCCGAGCACCCACAGCGCTCACAACACGCACGAACCCACCGTGCGATCGTGCTGCTCATGCTTCTTTTTCCACCGCCCCCTCCCCTACCCGAAGCGGCCCGAGAACAAGACCCGAGGCCTGCGCGTGAGGGCACGGGCGGGCTGTAGCGCCGAGGAGGACGAAGGGAGACGACGACGACAAGAACGATTACCAACCCGAAATAGACCCGTACCCCCATGACTGGCATTGATCTCATGATTGTACGGCCTGCCCCTCCAATCTCTGAGGGCAAATGCCTAACACTGGCACCGTCTTGGAACTGTCAGCCCTAGGGATAGGGATGAGTTCGAGGCTGGTCAGAGGAGGGGTACGACTCTGTGACGGCGGTATCCCTGCTGGGAACTTCTCGGTGTCGGGCATTTGCGAGAATTGATTCGATAGGCGTGCGATTTACCCCCAGTGCAGCCCAAGCCCGTCACGGCTTTCGCCGACATGGAGCCGGCGCCGTGCTCTCCTCGTCTTATTTCTCCTCAGCGAACTCCTGCTGGCGCTGCTGCTACCCCCCGCCCTTCCTGCGCGTGCCCGCCCTGCGGCGCTGACCGTATGCGCGACTATGTTGACCCCCTCCCACAGAGACACACGTTGCTCCGAGGCGTGCCAGCACTATAGGCAGAACCCAGGCACCCTATGCGCACGGTGAGGGCATTGGATAAAGAACCACTGGACAGTCCCACCAGCCCTCTTGGCATGGGTGGTTGAACGAGCTTTGTCTTCTCTCTTCCCCAAAACCCCTCCTTCCCCTGCTCCGGGTAGGGGTTCACTTGGTCTGGACGGGGCGCCCCGCGAGGGGGTAGAGCGTCCAAGATGACCCAAGATGACTCCAAGAGGGCCTCAGAGCCCAAGATGGCCTCCAAGATGGCTCAAACTAGTCGAAGATGGCTCAATATAGCTCCTGACATATCTCCAAGAGGCTTCAAGGCGGCCGCCCCAAGACGGTTTCAAGTGCCCTTCGAGCTGCCAAATGACGCCCCCAGAACAAAACATATGGCGCCAAAACTCAAGCAACATCCGTGTGTTTTGCCTTCTCGCACTTTCGCTTCTGATGGGCTCTCGAGGACTCCAAATGCCCCAAGAAGGCCCAAGAGAGCTCCGAGAGGGACCTACGAGGACCCCACGAGCGCCCAAGAGCGACCTAAGAGCGCCCCAAAACGGAATGTCTTAGCCTCCGAGTGGGGGAGCTGAATTTAGGACCCTCTTCTTTTCAACTCATGGAGGCCACGATGGCCCCAGAGGCCTCCCAGACCCCTCCAAGGAGCCCCAAGAAGGCCCCAAGACCCCCAAAATGAGCCCCAGGAGGGCTTTAAGAGTGCCCCAAGAGGCCCCACGGGGGCCCAGAGAGAGCCCCTAAGATGGCCTTCGTCGTCGTTCAAGAACCTCTCACAACAACATACCTCTAAGCCCGACTTCTCATCCTCGTTGTCATCGTCCGTTCCTTCCCTCATCCCTCTTTTCCTGCCTCCCTCCTCCTCCTCCTCCTCCTCCTCCTGCTCCTCCTTCTCCTCCTCCTCCTCCTCCTCCTCCTCATCTTCATCGTGCCGCATTCCTCCTCCTCCTCCTCCTCCTCCTCCTCCTCATCATCATCATCATCATCATCATCATCCTCTTCATTATCCTCCTCCTCCTCCTGCTCCTCCTCCTCCTCCTCTTCTTGCCCCTCCTCCTCCTTCTCTCTGCTTATTATTCCTCCTCCTCCTCCAATTCCTCCTCCTCCTCCTCCTCCTCCTCCTCCTCCTCCACTCGACTTTTCAAGCTTGAGCCCCAGCGCCCGCGGTCCCTGCTATCTTGAGTTCTCCCTTCTACTCTCTGAACTATGCCAGATTCCCCAGCAATCATTCTGAAACTAACACTGGTACCTCACGTCTCGCGAGGGTCGAGCAGGGCCGGCGGGAGCCGCAAAATAATCAGTACGAGTTGTAGTCGACAAGGTAGCCGAAGTGCAAGTAGTGCCCTGACCGGGCACAGAGAGAGGTAGCCGATCTCGAAGAGGTAGGCCACCAACGAATTAGATCCACATCCGTTCCTCAGGCTTGGAGGGCCTGGTGATCCAGGCTCAAAAGATCCTTGCCTGAAGACTCCAGTCTCGTAGGAGACGTGGTGCTCAGTCAGCGTCTGCCAAACGTTCCAGGTCTCCTTCCGTGTACTCATCCTTCTTCTTGGCCTTGATGGTCACCAGCATCGGATGCTTGAACTCGACATAGCCTGTAGCTAAGAAGTTGTGGAAGATCTCGTCCGTGGTGCAATGCTTGGTGAGGCTGCTTGCAAGCATGTCCTTAGTGTCGCACCAGAAGGCGTGCCTAACCTTGTGGATCAGCCGCTTCTCCCGGAGCGATAGGATAATCAATCTCTGTGATCGGTCCTGAGGAACTCCTTTCATGCCAGTGCACAGCTCATACAGATCTCTGCAGTCGGTCATGGTGTCGATCGGGATGTCATAGCACGCGTCAGCGTCTGCCTCGATGAGGTCCTCGAGCGAAGGTCGACTTGGCCAGGTCAACTCTGTCGCTCTCATGGCAATCAGCTCGCAGTGGGTCAAACATCCATGTTGACTGAGAGACTCAGCGTGTGATGTACTATGTGAAATCCTTTTCGCACGCTTGGCCGAATGTACGAGGCAGTGTCCATATCCGTTGCTCCAGTCGGGCTTGATCTTGCCGGAAGTAGTGAGGCCGTACACTCGGTCCGTCATCTTGATCGCCATCTGACCCTCGACTGCGTAGGACGTCTTGCTGCTCGCGTGGCTGGCATCTGCTACTGCAACCATGCGGTAGGGAGGCTCCAACTTCACAAATATCAGGCCAAGATGTGAGTGCTGCCAAGCCCGTCTCGTGATAGTGTTCGCCATCTTCAAGTGAATAATCTTGGCGCTGCACACGTGCTGCTGCAGAACCGCAACGTCGGCGAGGATGTCCGCGCGCGTGTAGCACAGGAACAGAAGAGCACCCACGGCGCCACGAAGTAGAGTGGTCTGTGCTGCGGTTAGCTTGGTGTCATCCGAAGCGCCCTTGGGTATCTCCACGAGCTTGATGGCCAGCGCGAACTCGGTCTGGTGAAGTTTGTAGCCCCCTTTTATCTTTTCGTAGGTGATGCCAACGTGCTGCATGGGAGGCTTTACCACTGTCAGCTTGCCGAACCGTTTCTCCATCTTGATGAAGAGTACCTTCTTGAACTCGTTCGTTCCGGCAACGCTGGCGTCGTCAACATGCAAGGTCGCCTCTCCAACCAAGGTGTTCTCAGCATCGTGCCAGGTGTAGAAGTTTTCGTCATAGAGAGAAACTCTGGCCGAGGTGAACTTCGTCAGGAAATATCTCAGGCACAGTTGCCAGGGGAGCGGTGCATCATTCAAACCATACATCGCCTTCAGAAGTTCTAGGCCGTACTCGGAAAAGTTGCTGGATGGTGCTCCAGGAAACTTCGAGTCTCTGAGATGAAACCATACGTTGTCTGGAACCACGATGACAACCTTCCGCTTGATGTCGGGCATCGGAACCTTGAGTGCCCGGCACGCTTCCTGCAGATGCTCGAAGCTGAACCCTTGAAGAAAAGCACTGCCAACGTCCCACTCCTCGATGTCCCAGTCGTTGTTGGCCGCGTCACTGACGAGGAGCGTCTGAGAGAGTCTTGTGGCAGTAGTGCTGTGCTTGGCTAATAGATGCTTCTGCGGGTCCAGGAAGCCGCGGCAGCAGAGCCTGCTCTTGATGACTCTTGTCCAACTTCCGTCGGCTGCCTGCTTCCATTTCCACTTGCGCACCCAGGCGCAGTTGATGGGCAGCGTGTCCGAGTAGCTGAGCTTGCGCATCTTGAATACGTCGTGATTCACGAAGTTGGCTAACTCCGCGCGGTCGGCCTTCAGGATGTCTGCCTCGAAGCGAACCATTTCCTCCGGGGTGAGGTTGTCCGTCTCAGAGTCAACCCTGAAGCAAGAGCCGACGCGAACGTCCATCCAGAAACAGGTGCTGCGCTGCCAAGGCCCAGGCAGAGTGACATCTGCCGTTGTCGCAGTCCAGGTGCCGCTGGATGCTAAGTAGTCTTCTGCTGAGAGAAAGGCCGTGGCAATAAAGGCAGCACCTGCCTCCTTCATCTCGGCGTCGTACTCACTGAACATGTCGTCCATCAAGTCGCGCCTGTCTTCCGGTGTCTGGAAATATGATCCGCAGAGCGTGTGATCGTGTACCTGGTCGAAGTAAAAGGGCGGAGCCATATCGTCTCGGTATGATGGTAGTGTGTCGTCCCAAGAAGGCTGACTGTACTCGAGCGTCGGGGCTTCTTCTTCGTCTGCTGGTGGTTCTTCAGCGGGAGCGTATTCTTTTATCGGCAGCAATGGCTGCGGCAGATCCGCAGGAGGTTGAGGTGGAGCGCTCCCTGACGAAGATGATGCTGATGCTTGTGGGCCCCGAGATCCTGAGCTCGATGAGGTAGATCTTGTGCTGGCCTTCTTGGTTGGTGGAAACTCACAAGAGGTGTCGTGCTTGACCCCAGAGGTATCCCCGACCGGTGGTGTATTCGGCGTGGTCGGGTACTTCGTCGGATCCCATTGACGCGAGCGTGATCGGTCTGAAACTCCAGCGTCTTCGAGAATCGGTAGACGGGGTAGTGTGTCAACCTCTGGAGCCTGCGGAGCTGGGTAGTCAATAGTTGGCTGTTCTTGTTCCGCCTCTGGATACTGAACAGTTTCTTGAGAATCGCCCAGTCGATCATGCTCAACGTCGTGTCGTGATGCCGAGCGATCCTTAGATGAGCTTGACATGATACCTTGATCTGCGACTGAGGGCCGATCTTCTTCCATGCTCCTGTTCCAGTTATGTCGCCTTGTTCCTCGGAT